TTATCGATATGATCTCCTAAAAGTGCAGCCCAAGATTGAAGTTGATCAAGAATATCCCATGGAGTTGTCATTGCAGCTACCAACATAACAAGTGTATGTGGAAATCTTTCTCCATTCAATGCAAATCTCAAAAGATTTGCATGACCAGGATCCCCATCCAACACCCATACAGATAATCTAGTTTGATCTAAATAGAAATTTTGACTGGTATTATTTTATAATCTTTCATCTTTCATAGTTAAAAAATATTATTAACTTCAAATTATTATTACCATCTCTATAATCATCTCTCACATCGATATATGCAAATTCTAAACCAGAACCTTTCTTCGGATCCTCTACACCTTGTAATTTGGCAATAAGTGTTGTCTTTCCACTTTCATTATCACCTACAAATAAAATCAATTTGTTGTTGATTACATGGATATTACATTCCAAGCAAATGTCAAAGTATTACTTTTATACAAGACAATAGTTTTATCTTTTCTTTAAAATAAAAAATAATATTTTATATTTTCTGTATCAAGACACTGTATACATATGTATTTAACAAACCAAGATATAACCTAAACACTTCATTTTCGTTACCTGTTACATACAATAAACAGTTCACCTATTTCATACATAATATGAATCGAACCTTGAAAGAATTAATCATTTAAAAATGAGTAAACATATTGTTAATTGAAACTATGTCAAAATAAAATAATGTGCTGAACTAGGTTGACATGTTAAATGCCATGGCAGTCTCTATGGATTGGTGTTAGACTTCTTGTTTACCCAGCTGAGTCGTTCTGGATTAACCATGGTCTTTACATTTATACTACACCACCAGACCAATCATTGCAGAAAGCAATAACACTTTGGTAACATGTATCACTATTTTTAGATCAGAAATTTTTGAATTACTAGTATGACATTCAATAGAATATTTTCTCATTTTATGTGCACTATATTCTTTTCTTCCTAATTTAGGCCAAGGTCTTGTACTTTTGACAGTTTCTTCCTGTTTAAAATGTGATATCACATTAACCAACTGTCTGTTATCTCTTGATATGAAAAGAGGATTCAGAAGTGTTCAGTACAAGTTCAAAATTTAATTTTTAATAAACATTGTTTAACTTTGCTTCTCGTTTTCTTATCTCTTGTTTATAGTCCATGCACTGAATAAGGCTTTCTCCACTTGACATTAGAATACGATGTAAACGAAATGTCAAATAAGGTAAACTTGACATTTGACATGTTAATGAAGAACAATGATGACTCAAGTTTACCTAAGACAAGAATATTCTTATTTGATGGTAACTTGTTGCTGCCACTATTTTGTACTTCAGCCAAGATAGAGGACCTGCAAAAGGGGCAAAAGAAAATAGCATAAATTACCAACAAATTCTAAACAATAGCTATGTAAAATCTAATTTTCTCATTGGTGATATGTGGCACGCGACGAGTACGTCCAACATTCACATACTACGATTATTTGTATGTACATATATTATAATCTACATTCTATTCTTTGCAGAAGAATATTCTTTAATCATACCACAAGTTGTCTTCATTCTCTGCGTCCTCTTTCTTTTTCGTTTGAAGCCGATTGCTCTGCAACATCGTATTAATCGCCGTTCCTGCCATTAACCATTTAACAGAAACGAACTGTTATCGATTGTGCGCAAACGGCGGTCGCGGATGGTCTGGGCTGGTCGCGGCTCCGCGATTGACTTCGTTCAGAGCAGTTCAGAGTAAAATTTTATTGTCCGTTCAATGAACTAGCGCTACCAAAGAAGAGCAACGGAGATGCGGAGAATAGGTGAACTACGAAACAGTTTGTCGCGTTTTTCATGCACAATAATGGAAAAACACATAATGATTATGCATTTCGTAATCAAGGGAAGTAAACCTATCGACCTATAAAGCGTTTTTTTGAAAAACTTGAAAACAAATGAATATTTCGTCCATTTGCGGCACAAGTGCGCACAGCTACGATATATATATGTCATATGTGTATAAATATTCATCGGAATTTTGATAACTCTTTTTGATAACTCTTCTTCTCTTTGTGCTTCAAACATATAAGTTAATCCACCTAATAAACACTAACAAAGTAACTAACAATTAGCCGCAAATCAACGTAAAAACAGTAAATAAGAAGATGATGGGCATTTTAAATGATTCTGATAGTGAAGATGAATTACCTCCTGGGTGGGAGGAAATGACAACTGTTGACGGAACCGTCTATTATGTGAAGTAAATTATACTTTTGACATTTTTGCAATACATTATGTATAACTATCGCAATATATTATTAGAAATTCTTACTATATCAAAAATTTAAGTATACTCATAAAGTAAGGTTACCCAGTACTTTGTAACAAGATATCATTTTAGAAATTGCAAGAATACTTGTTTTCTTTTAGCCATTATACAAAAGGCACACAATGGACACATCCTAGGACTGGTCGCAAAAAAATTGTTGAAGGAGGTATAATATCACTACATAAATCATTTTATATTGTATAAATGTAAAAAACTAATGTCAATGAAAATATTTTAATGTACAAACAAAATAAAACAAACCTAATAATGTTATTTGTTAATAAGAATTACCATCTGGATGGGAGAGATGCATATCAGATGATGGTAAAGTTGTATTCATTGATCACATGAATCGTACAACAACATATACTGATCCACGACTTGCATTTGCTACGGAATATAGAGAATTATCGCAACCAGTACGACAGCGTTTCGATGGAAGTAGTACAGCATTATCCGTTTTACATGGTCGGGATTTAAGAGGCAAAATTGCTATTGTTACAGGTGCTAATACAGGCATAGGTAAATAAACTATATATTTGTTTAATGAGTAATTATGTTAATAGTAGATGTACTGTTTTTATAGCTCATTCATAATTACTTAGTATTAAAATATTTTTGTAGGATTTGAAACTGCTAGGTCATTAGCTTTTCATGGTTGCAGAGTTATCTTGGCTTGCAGAGATTTAAAAAAAGCTGAAAAAGCCATACAGAAAATACAAGAAGAACGGGAAAATGTAATGTGTGAAACATTACACTTAGACTTGTCTTCATTACACAGTGTCAAAGAAGCAGCTGATCAATTTAAACAAAAATATAGGTAACTCTCCATGATATAAAGATATTAATCAACAGTTTTATCATAAATTACTGTGATTAATGTATTTTACATTTCCAGAACATTGCACATTCTTATATTAAATGCTGGAGTTTTTGCAGTTCCTTATGAACTTACAAAAGATGGTTATGAAACAACATTTCAAGTGAATCATCTTTCTCATTTTTATTTTACTCTTTTATTGGAACATCCTATTCGAAGTTGTCATAATTCTAGAGTAGTGGTGGTTTCAAGTGAATGTCACAGGTATTACAAATTTCTTAAAAGTAAATAAAGGAAATAATGGAAGCACTTTTAGGGCTGAATAAAATGTTAACGCAATTATTGTATTTCCAGTTTGAACAAATATTGATTTGTTTAAAAACTGTATGTTTTTAAGGAAAAATGTAAATTTTACACAAAATTTACTATTTCAATTTTTTTTTTAAGTACTAAAAAAAAGCCCATAAAAAGTCTTTTGAAACAAAAAATATGAGGTTTCCCTTTAATTAATAAAAATTGTGTATGGTAAAGATAATATTTAATTCTGGTATAAAAATTAAATTAAAAATTGTAATTTTCATTTTTATTTTTTTTACAGATTTTCATCTCTCCGAACAGTAGAAGATTTTCATCAATTGACTCTTTCTCCACCTGCATATAAGTATTGGTTTATGGGAGCATATAATGATTCGAAACTATGTAATATTTTATTTGCACAAGAATTAGCGAGACGTTGGCCTTCTGTCAGTGTATTTAGTTGTCACCCTGGTAACATGGTTTCATCGTCACTACCCCGTTATTCGTGTTTATTACGATTATTGTTCACGCTAGTCCGACCTTTCACAAAATCACTGGTATGATACTTATTTGTTCGAAGTAAGAGTTTTTATCGAGTCTAATGACATTTATTCAAATTTTACAGCAACAAGGAGCGAGTACACAAGTTTTCTGTGCTACCGCACCTGAGCTAGAAGGTGTAACTGGAGTTTATTTCAATAATTGCTACCGTTGTAATACATCAAGTGCAGCATTAGATTCTGCACTTGCATCAAGATTATGGTCTGTTAGTCAAGAAATGATTATAAGTGTTATGAAGAAAGACAAATTTTTGGAAACAGCACAAAAGCGGCACATGCTTTAATCGAATGGAACTATAAACGAACAAAAGTTCAGTAAAATATACAAAGTAGAATGTACTTTTATTAATAAAAAATGTATATTTATTGTTATTGATAATTTCATTACACATTTAATACAATTGTTTTTATATGTTTTATATGGTAACATAATATCCTCCATTCTTCATGAAATTTAAAAAAATTGTTCATAACTTTATTAAAATAAAGTTCAAAATCACAAACATTTATTGAAATACAAAATACTTAATGGCATTTAATTTGTTCTTGATATTGACGATATTATTTTTGCAATTGTACAGAAATACGTTAAAAAGTAAGTTTAAATAACGTGAACATTTTAATAATAAAACAAATTATTATGTTTTTACCCTAAAACTCTACACCAGTGCGCGGAATTACTTTCCCATTTCGGGCCGATTCCTGAGGCACTGCATACTGTATCCCCACTACCACTCTAAATTCGGCGGTTGTATATCATATAGTAATCATATATTTATTAATGACATATCATTAATAAAATATAAAGATCGTATGAGTTTTTTAATTTTAATTTTAAATTTAACTTTATTCAATTTGATTGAGATAATAACTTTTTGTAACAACAATCTTTCCACCATTAAGTATTTTGTATTTCAATAAATGTTTGTGATTTTGAACTTTATTTTAATAAAGTTATGAACAATTTTTTTAAATTTCATGAAGAATGGAGGATATTATGTTACCATATAAAACATATAAAAACAATTGTATTAAATGTGTAATGAAATTATCAATAACAATAAATATACATTTTTTATTAATAAAAGTACATTCTACTTTGTATATTTTACTGAACTTTTGTTCGTTTATAGTTCCATTCGATTAAAGCATGTGCCGCTTTTGTGCTGTTTCCAAAAATTTGTCTTTCTTCATAACACTTATAATCATTTCTTGACTAACAGACCATAATCTTGATGCAAGTGCAGAATCTAATGCTGCACTTGATGTATTACAACGGTAGCAATTATTGAAATAAACTCCAGTTACACCTTCTAGCTCAGGTGCGGTAGCACAGAAAACTTGTGTACTCGCTCCTTGTTGCTGTAAAATTTGAATAAATGTCATTAGACTCGATAAAAACTCTTACTTCGAACAAATAAGTATCATACCAGTGATTTTGTGAAAGGTCGGACTAGCGTGAACAATAATCGTAATAAACACGAATAACGGGGTAGTGACGATGAAACCATGTTACCAGGGTGACAACTAAATACACTGACAGAAGGCCAACGTCTCGCTAATTCTTGTGCAAATAAAATATTACATAGTTTCGAATCATTATATGCTCCCATAAACCAATACTTATATGCAGGTGGAGAAAGAGTCAATTGATGAAAATCTTCTACTGTTCGGAGAGATGAAAATCTGTAAAAAAAATAAAAATGAAAATTACAATTTTTAATTTAATTTTTATACCAGAATTAAATATTATCTTTACCATACACAATTTTTATTAATTAAAGGGAAACCTCATATTTTTTGTTTCAAAAGACTTTTTATGGGCTTTTTTTTAGTACTTAAAAAAAAAATTGAAATAGTAAATTTTGTGTAAAATTTACATTTTTCCTTAAAAACATACAGTTTTTAAACAAATCAATATTTGTTCAAACTGGAAATACAATAATTGCGTTAACATTTTATTCAGCCCTAAAAGTGCTTCCATTATTTCCTTTATTTACTTTTAAGAAATTTGTAATACCTGTGACATTCACTTGAAACCACCACTACTCTAGAATTATGACAACTTCGAATAGGATGTTCCAATAAAAGAGTAAAATAAAAATGAGAAAGATGATTCACTTGAAATGTTGTTTCATAACCATCTTTTGTAAGTTCATAAGGAACTGCAAAAACTCCAGCATTTAATATAAGAATGTGCAATGTTCTGGAAATGTAAAATACATTAATCACAGTAATTTATGATAAAACTGTTGATTAATATCTTTATATCATGGAGAGTTACCTATATTTTTGTTTAAATTGATCAGCTGCTTCTTTGACACTGTGTAATGAAGACAAGTCTAAGTGTAATGTTTCACACATTACATTTTCCCGTTCTTCTTGTATTTTCTGTATGGCTTTTTCAGCTTTTTTTAAATCTCTGCAAGCCAAGATAACTCTGCAACCATGAAAAGCTAATGACCTAGCAGTTTCAAATCCTACAAAAATATTTTAATACTAAGTAATTATGAATGAGCTATAAAAACAGTACATCTACTATTAACATAATTACTCATTAAACAAATATATAGTTTATTTACCTATGCCTGTATTAGCACCTGTAACAATAGCAATTTTGCCTCTTAAATCCCGACCATGTAAAACGGATAATGCTGTACTACTTCCATCGAAACGCTGTCGTACTGGTTGCGATAATTCTCTATATTCCGTAGCAAATGCAAGTCGTGGATCAGTATATGTTGTTGTACGATTCATGTGATCAATGAATACAACTTTACCATCATCTGATATGCATCTCTCCCATCCAGATGGTAATTCTTATTAACAAATAACATTATTAGGTTTGTTTTATTTTGTTTGTACATTAAAATATTTTCATTGACATTAGTTTTTTACATTTATACAATATAAAATGATTTATGTAGTGATATTATACCTCCTTCAACAATTTTTTTGCGACCAGTCCTAGGATGTGTCCATTGTGTGCCTTTTGTATAATGGCTAAAAGAAAACAAGTATTCTTGCAATTTCTAAAATGATATCTTGTTACAAAGTACTGGGTAACCTTACTTTATGAGTATACTTAAATTTTTGATATAGTAAGAATTTCTAATAATATATTGCGATAGTTATACATAATGTATTGCAAAAATGTCAAAAGTATAATTTACTTCACATAATAGACGGTTCCGTCAACAGTTGTCATTTCCTCCCACCCAGGAGGTAATTCATCTTCACTATCAGAATCATTTAAAATGCCCATCATCTTCTTATTTACTGTTTTTACGTTGATTTGCGGCTAATTGTTAGTTACTTTGTTAGTGTTTATTAGGTGGATTAACTTATATGTTTGAAGCACGAAGGCTGTATGTTGCGTACCGCTACTTTTGATAGAGATAAATTAATTCCCATGTCACTCCTAGATGGCAGAGCGGAGACCCGTTTGTGGCGTCGCTGCGCCAACATTATTAGAGAGTTTCCTCTCTATGGAAAAAGTAAACTTTCTTTTGTTTTCTTCCTCTATGCGAACAGGAAGATTTTCGTTTGTTTTTTTTCTCTTGCCCAGGTTTCCTACCTCGTGGCGACAGTACGAGTTCGGCATGTGGAGGAGTACGACTCACGCGTCGAAAACCATTTTCAAATATCGCGCTAGTCCGTAATGGCGTCTCCTTTTGTACTAACACGTCGCGTTGATGTAAATACTTGGCGTCGATTCTTATGTCGCGCTCGGTATAATAAATGGTGCATGTTCATCAGTAAAGATTCTTGTGATGTGATTAACCCCACACGTTTGCCCGTTGTTATGGAATGTGAATGTGCCTTTGCGTTTGGGAGTTCTATTTGAAGTTAGTTTAGCGCCAATTACGATTTTCTTGTATTTACGGTGTTTCGTTTTTTTTTGATTGCATTTTATTTAAAACAATTTGTTAATACTCATTCGCATAGCGACCGTTAACTAGTATAGACGTCTATTGTAAAAGCTTGTATTTATAGTAAAGAAATTCAACGTTTATGTTAAATTAGTTATATTCAAACTGTTACAATAAAGTTAATATTACATTTCTTAATTTATCTTAAATTAACTTATTCCTGGCTAAGTCGCATGCAATTCTAATAATCTTGTCACGTGCGACGAGAGCGCCAGTAAAACCCTGAGTCCTTAAAAATAAAACCGCACGGACGCGCACATGTATAAGGAGTTTCAACTGTGTAGTGTAAAAGTCATGAAGACTGTATAAGGAGATCGAACTCCATACGAAAGTTACTAGAAAACTGTTAGCAAAATCCCGAGCTTTAAGGCTGCGCAGGAACTAAACTAGCGCCACCAACGAAGAGCAACATAGAATAGGTGAACTACGAAACAGTTTTTCGCTTTTTTTATGCATAATAATGAAAACAAACACATAATGATTATGCATTTTGTAATCAGGGGAAGTAAATCTATCGACCTATCAAGAGTTTGTTTCGACAATTTGCAAAAAAAAATTTGTTTCTTAAGGGTGCGCAGGAGACAAACTGGCGCCACCAACGGAAAGTAGGTGAACTACTAGATAGTTTTTCCCGTTTTTCAGGCACAATAATAAAAGAAACATATAATAATTATGCATTTCGTAATCAGGGGAAGTAAATCTATTGTCTTGTCAAGCGTTTTTTTGGAAAAAATTGAAAAAAAAAAAAAATTTTCTTGTCTTTGAACATATTTTTCATAAGTTTCAAAAACGAAATTGCAAAATGTGTAACTGTCCCCCGCAACGGTATTTTATAAGGAACAGTTAAAAAAAAAAATCAGACGGAAAGATCGCTTCCTCGCCTCATAAAATTACAATGGTGTTGTCGTTATGAAATCGAGAAGACTGATGCGCTTGCACAATGGCTTGAGTTTCACGCTCTTCACCACAGCACACCACAGCGCTGGTGTCGTCTCTCCTGCTGCTGGTGTGCCGATAATCTAAAAATGCCTTTCAGCATGGTTCAGTACCGTACTAAAAGTATGAAGCGCCCTTATATATTTTACTTTTGCATATGTATATACATTCAATATTATATTGTTAAGAAACGTCATATATATGTTAAGGTTGTTATATTGCATTGCAATTAATTAATACAGAATAGTCTGTTACGATAATTTCAAAGTAGTAAATAATAAACAACTGATATGATATTTGTAATATGGTACGAACATAATAAAGTACTAATTGTTATTTGTGGAATGTAATGATAGTATGCAATGTAAAAAATATTGTATAACAAAAAAGGTAAAACGTTTATGAACATTATTTTTGAATATACGTAATTACATAAGAGAAAGCACACTAACAAAGGGAAGGCACGGATGTTGCAATCACTTTTGCAACGACACCTTATGGGAGTCGAGTACGCATGTAGTACTGCAAAACCATTTTGGCTTTTTTCAGAATGGGTGTTTGTTTTCGATTTACAATAAAAGCATCTAGCAAGGTTCGTTGAATGGATTGGTGGAGTATTAGGTTGTACCGCTGCTTGACCCCGGGTACGAATCCCGCGATTGATGTATTTTTTTTTATTTCAATTTTCTATCAGAAATATACTTTTTGGATATCATGTACTATATACTGCATATTATATATTATCTTACGCATATTTTAAGGTTAAAATTAATTTTTTAACGTAACATATCATGCCGGAATACCTACTTGCTGTAGGTGAGTAAGTCTTTACAACGATTTTTATCTTTGGTCGTAAGTTTATTTCGTTTTATCGTGACAGTCACATGAAGGAAGGTTTGAAAGTTTGAAAATGGATAGTGATTCTTTGCGTGCAATTTGTTTTGAAGAAATAGTCATCGATAGCAGAGAATCCAAGCGTAAAGAGGACAGAATGTGTGTAATGTTTTCTCTTTCTCTGGCGTATGTATTCTCCGGAATACTACTGTTAGTTGTACATGTATACGTTCCATTCGTTCGATTTTACTAGTGTTAAAATGAGAAAGCATGTTATCTTCTATCATTCTCCAAAGTATAACACCCGTGCTCGAGCGATCACTTTATAGTTTGCCGCTACACCGAACCCCCTGTTTTGTCTACAGGTTCCTCCTCGTCACGCTCGAGAACGGTCAAGCCGAATATACCATAACTGTTTCGAAATAAGCAACTCGCCGGTCCCGATCGAGTTACTTATTTCGAGACATTGCTGTACTTGTTTCTATTTGTATAATGAATTTCAATATATTTATCTCTATTCTACATAGATATGTTTGATACGCATCATGGCTATCAAAAAATCGAGTACATTTCATTAACGTAAATCAAGCGGTATTCCCAGTAGAATTAAATAAACAATTTTGCAGTTGTGAATCTAAAGCATTCATACGATGTACATGGTGATAAAAAATTTTGTTTCCACTGCTTTTTCGAAAATTATCACCCAAGTTCGTGTACATCATAATGGAAATTGTTTGTTTTAAAAAATATATCCGAACATTAGTTATAAATAAGTCATATTTAACGAATGTATTTTTAAAAGAAAGTGAAAAAAAGAATAGTGTAAAGAATGTTTCAACGGGACTCGAACTCGCGACAGAGGAATTATTATGCTGATGCTTTACTGACCACACCGAATTCGCTATTGACAGAGTCGCTTATAATTCACTAAGTAAACAGCAATAATAACTTCAATGTTGAATATCTCGTAAACTATAAATCGTCTGCCCCCAAAACTGAATATCATTCGCTTCAGTTTTCCACTGTGTAAAGGCTCATCAAAAAATTAGCGTCATATCTGGGCCCGTTCCCTTGTCAGTCTCTCTTTCTTCTTCATCAAACTGTCTCTTTCTACTTCGTCGACGCCTCCAAACTTTGGACGGATTCGAAGCTGATCGAAACATTTGGTTACACATACAATGTATGTAGGTATAATAACCAGCCGAAGTGTCCATTCTAAGTTACGTGCGGCTCCAGCCGAGAGCGAACATAGAAAGAGACAGACAGACAGAGACAGACAGACAGAGACAGACAGACAGACAGAGACAGACAGACAGA